CCGTTTGTTCCACGATTTCTTTTTATAGCATTATAGAGACTTCCTCTTCGCTTAACTTCTCGCAAATTTCCGGTCAGACAGTGCTATTTTTATGCACTGAATTATCAGTCTCTCACAAACAACGTGAAAAGAACTTGCCAAATCGATGCGTTTAAACTAACCACCGTCTGTTTTGTCACAGTGATAATGTATGCAATTATGATACATTCCAAAAACATTAAAAAAAGAAAACAAACAAAAAGAAACGAAACTACAAACTACAATAACAAAAAAAAAGAAAGAAACGAAAACGAAAACGAAAACGAAAACGAAACTAAAAACTACAATAACAAAAAAAATAATAATAATAATAAATTGTTCAAACCCAAAATAAATAAGGATAATCACAACAAACCCGAGACCAAAACAGCCAACACATTAACACCGTCTTCCTCTTCCCTCTTCTTCCCCCCCCCCTCCCCCTTCAACAGACCCGTACGTGAAAGTGTGTCTCCTGTGCCAAGGTCGACGCATCAAGAAAAAGAAAACAACAGTGAAGAAGTCGACCCTCAACCCCGTGTATAACGAAGCCCTGGTGTTCGACATCCCCAACGACAACATCGAGGACGTCACTCTGCTCGTCAAGGTCGTCGACTACGATAGGTGGGTGGTCGTGGGAGGAAGGAGGGAGGAGGGAGGAGGGAAGGGGGAGGATGGGGAAGAGGGAGGGAGGAGGGAAGAGGATGGGGAAGAGGGACGAGGAAGAGGGAGGAAGGAGGGAGGAGGAGGAGGATGGGGAAGAGGGAGGAGGAAGGAGGGAGGAGGGAAGGGGGAGGAAGGAGGGAGGAGGGAGGAGGGAAGGGGGAGGAAGGAGGGAGGAGGGAGGGGGAGGAGGGGAGGAGGAGGAGGAGGGAGGGGAAGAGGGAGGAGGATGGGGAAGAGAGAGAAAAGATGAGGGAGGGGAAGAGGGAGGGGAGGAAGGAGGAAGGAGGGGAGGAGGAGGGAGGGGGGGAAGAGGGAGGAGGAGGAGGGAGGGGAGGAAGGAGGAATGAGGGATGAGGATGGGGAGGTGGAGAGGGGAGATGGAGAGATGGGAGTGGGAGAGATGGAGAGAGAGAGAGAGAGAGAGAGAGAGAGAGAGAGAGAGAGAGAGAGAGAGAGAGAGAGAGAGAGAGAGAGAGAGAGAGAGAGAGAGAGAGAGAGAGAGAGAGACGGAGTTGAAGGAAAAGAATGAGAGAGAGACTGAAGGAAGAAAGGAAAAAGGATAGAGAGAGAAAGATAACGAGACAAAAATACTAGAGGCAAGAAAAGGAGAGTGAACACGAAGCATAGAGAGGAAACACCAGAGTTCACAGTCGCCCGCATCACAGGAGAAGAGAGAGAGAGAGAGGAGATAAGGGGGGAGAGAGAGGAGATAAGAGAGAGAGAGAGAGGGGAGATAAGGAGAGAGAGAGAGAGAGAGGGGAGATAAGGAGAGAGAGAGAGAGAGAGGGAGAGAGAGAGAGAGAGAGAGAGAGAGAGAGAGAGAGAGAGAGAGAGAGAGAGAGAGAGAGAGAGAGAGAGAGAGAGAGAGAGAGAGAGAGAGAGAGAGGAGATAAGGGGAGAGAGGGAGAGAGTGAAAGTGATAAGGGGGAAAAGAGAGAGAGAAGGATATAAGGGAGAGAGAGAGAGAGAGAGAGAGAGAGAGAGAGAGAGAGAGAGAGAGAGAGAGAGAGAGAGAGAGAGAGAGAGAGAGAGAGAGAGAGAGAGAGAGCAGGAGATTTTCAGGGCATTTCATTTCCTTTTAATGACGCGCGCTCGATAGTATCGTGGAAGTTGCAGTAGGAGGAGGAGGAGGAGAGAGGAGAGATAACGAGGGACTCAGTAGTGGAAGGGAGGAGACGAAGGGAAAAGGGAGCAGAAGAGGGAGGGAAAGAGAAAAAAGGGAAAAGGGGTGATTGTGATAAGAGGTAGACAGAGAAAAGGAAAGAGAGAGAGAGAGAGAGAGAGAGAGAGAGAGAGAGAGAGAGAGAGAGAGAGAGAGAGAGAGAGAGAGAGAGAGAAGAAAGAAAGAAAGAAAGAAAGAAGAAAGAAAGAGAGAGAGGGAGAGGAGAAAGAGAGAGAGAGAGAGAGAGAGAGAGAGAGAGAGAGAGAGAGAGAGAGAGAGAGAGAGAGAGAGAGAGAGAGAGAGAGAGACAGACAGACAGAGAGAGAGAGAGAGACAGAGAGAGAGAGAGAGAGAGAGAGAGAGAGAGAGAGAGAGAGAGAGAGAGAGAGAGAGAGAGAGAGAGAGAGAGAGAGAGAGAGAGAGAGAGAGAAAGGAGGATGAGATACAAAAAGAAATAAGTAACCCGAGAAAGGAAATGGATACACGTAGAAACCTACTGAAACAAGGGGATACGAATAACAGAGAAGAAACGATTAGCAAGGAAAATGAAAAAGGAAAGCACACTCACACCACCAGGAAGTATCACATATCCCCCGCCCCTTCGGTTCCCTTGGGCACGTAAGCTAACCCTTTCCCCTTTCCCTCCCCGACCAGAATCGGCGCCAACGAACTCCTGGGCGTGACGGTGATCGGGTCGCAGGTCATCGGGCCGGGGCGTGACCACTGGCTCGAGATGCTGGAGTGCCCCCGCCGCCCCGTCACCCAGTGGTACCCCCTGATGGAGAGCGTGCCCCTCAACCTCGTGACGTCACCCACCCGCTCTCTGCCTCCACCTCTCACCTGCTTCAATTCCACGTGAGAAATAGACAAAAGGGATTGAATTCTCTTCTTTTTAAGGATTGTCCGACTGACTTTAAGTTTAGTTTAAGGATAAGATTGATGAGCTTATTTTCGAAAAAAAGGAAAGGTAAGGATTTTAATTCTTTCTGCTTTGATACTAGGAAATGTGTTGTTGTTGTTGTTTTTTCTCTCTCTCTCTTTTCTTGTGCGCGTGTCATAAAGATAAGGTTAAGATATTTGTTTGGACATATATACTTAGGAGAGATTATCTGCTGAGAACTTTGTCATTTTGTAATTTGAAGCTTATTGTCTTAAAAAAATGATAAGAAAAGGTTATACGTATGGAGTATGGGAACAATATCGCACTGGACAGTTTAAGCTAAGTGGTAAGTGGATTAAGTATAGACTCTAGATATATGGTTTGCTGTCTGAACGTTCTCTTAAAGTAAAGACACCTTTCTGTGTGTGTGTGTGTGTGTGTGTGTGTGTGTGTGTGTGTGTGTGTGTGTGTATGTGTGTGTGTGTGTGTGTGTGTGTGTGTGTGTGTGTGTGTGTGTGTGTGTAATGTATGTATGTGTGTGTGTGTGTGTGTGTGTGTGTGTGTGTGTGTGTGTGTGTGTGTGTGTGTGTGTGTGTGTGTGTGTGTGTGTGTGTGTGTGTGTGCAATAGTCTGGAGTGAGGATAAGTTTCCTCAAGGTTCTCTTTGTGATTTCTGCATTCACACAAAAGACTTCCAATCCTCATCGTCAGAGAACACGAAAAGTTCTTGAGCCGTTTTTATCTCTCTTCTTCTTTTCTCTTCTTAAATATATATATGTATATATATTTTTCTCTTTCTCTCTTTTTCCTTTCTTTCTTTCTTTCTTTTTTCTTTTTTCTTTTTTTTTTTTTGCTTGATTTCGCACACTGACAAAAAAAAAACAAAAAAAAACAGGGGCGGTCACTTCAAAGGCTGATGCCATGCAGCCCATTAACTGAAACTATGCAGCCGTGCGGTAAAAATTCCTTTCCGGAAATGAGAATTCGTGCCTCCTGTTTACTTTATCCTTGTTTTCCATTCTTCTAAAAGCTCATAAACAGAGGATCCAGCGACAAAATCAACATGGATCAACCCATGAACAGGTTTCGTAATTTTCTTAAATGAGAAGAACCGAGACTTAAACTTGATCTATCATTGCATTCATTAATCCGTAAAACAAAGCAAATCAACTCTTGAATATTTCCTCATCCACACATTTCGTAAAGATGCAAGTGCGAAGAAACGACACTTTAAAGTACGCCCATTACTGCGTTCATCATTCCTTGATTATAGCTAATGGGGGAAACTAGCGTAATTTCTGATACAACTTCTACCTCTGAGACTCACATGGATGACCAGAATAGTCAGATTTTCTCGTCGGTGGCTCCGTCTTGGAAATTATTCATAGTTCCGCCCGTCTCCAATTCGATTACAAACACGTACTGGAGGGCTGGTGCCGGTGTATGTCTCAGTATGTCTCGGCCGGTTAACTGTATTTTGAAATCTGGGGAAGCAAAGATATTTATTCCTTCGTGGGGTTAGTATTCCTGGGCATATTTTGCATCGCACGATCCAAAGAATAATGCTCATGTTTTAACATCGGTCAGATTTTTACCATTCTTCCAGGACACTCTCTCTTTCTCTCGCTCTCTCTCACTCTTCCTCTCCCTCTCCTTCTCCTTCTCCCCCCCCCCCTCTCTCTCTCTCTCTCTCTCTCTCTCTCTCTCTCTCTCTCTCTCTCTCTCTCTCTCTCTCTCTCTCTCTCTCTCTCTCTCTCCTTCCCATTATCTAGAGAAACGACACGGAAATCCCATGCAACAAGAAGTCCATAACATTTGCAAAACCTTTCCAAATCGTTCTTCTGTAAACGTTATTTGCAGCAAATGAAACTAGCATGGCCACTCCCAGAGCAAGAGCCCCAACGTTGAAACTAGCTTATAATATAATGTTAAACTTAGAATAAAAACAACATAATCAGAATAAGAAAATGGAAACTTACGATTACAAAATGGGTAAGTTAAAGGTAAGATGAACACGAGTTAAAGGTAAAATAAACACTGGGCTGTTTCTATCTGAAGCTTGTAGGGAAGCGAGGTTGCTCTCCCTCCGAGTTACAAGGTGGCTGGTGGTTCTTGGCTTCCGGCGGGGAGAGGCCTATTTTGCTGTAACTGTCGTCTACTGATAACTTTGAAACTTGTATTTGACATGTGATAGCTAGAGACGAAGGGAGGCGTCTTATTTCTTTTTATATTTCGTTTTCTTTTATTTTTATTTTTCCTCCTTTTTTCCTATTTG